ACTTCACAACTTCACATAAATCTATGGGTTAGTAAACGTAAAAAAAAGAGAACTTCAAGACAAGAAAAGCAAAGCAAAAAAGACGAAAAATAAAAAAGTTACAAAAGAAATCTATATATAGTCTTGAACTTTGTAATGTTATTATGAACAGCAATTTCCCGTTGTATATTGATTTTTTTTCTCTTCGAAGCGTGAGAAAACTGTCAAAACAAAGCTTTTTTCTTGTAAGCAGCTACTTTATATGGAGTACTTTGCTATAAGAAGTGAGTAATTCAAGGAATATAGGTGTTCTCTATTGTTGAAAATTCCATACAGAATCATGCTCTCTGTTAATGACATTTTCTTTAGTTTTGCTAGTCCACCATGTTTGGAAAATGTCCCAGAAGGATAAAGTTCATTGACAGCACAAAAACATATGATCTAAGGAATGCCCGTCAGCAAGACATTATGGGCATATGTCGTCATCACATATCTTGGCTTTAAAGAGACTGACTTTTGTTGGAAGAACATTATGAATAATCTTATATTGAAACATTGTTGCTTTTATGTCACTTTTTATCTGGAAAGGTAGTTTGTACACTCTAAATATTATCTTGAGTAAAACCATATGTAATAATTTTGCTCTCGGCGGTTGGGGATAAGAAGACTTTTTTAGCATAATAGAGTAAACACTTTTAGTGGAAATTTTTGTTGTGCGATTTTCATTTTCCGCTACATGCGAAGGAGTCCTTTTCATTGCCAGCTTCCAAGGGGCCGGCACAGAATCAATTAAGCCGAAATAAAGAGTGAAGGGGGTTTCGAGATGAAATTTTTCAGAGAAAAGATTGAAAGGAAAGAAGTTACTGTTATTGTCAAGGAGATCTTCAACCCGTAGAATGTTTTTTTTTTCTAGCCAGCTTTTATAAAAGTGTGCTTTACCATCTATTATTATGTTGTGATTATTCCAAATTATTTCCTTGCGGGGGGATGTATCCTTTTGAAAAGTAGACCTCGTGTTTTGCCAATATTTTAAGAAGTCGCTATAGAAGTCTGGGAGGACGTTAAATTGCAAGAACTTGACGTCGTAGTTGCATTGTAAAAAAAATTATATTCCCCCAAGATTTTCAAGTGCCGCTTCAGGGATGATTTTCCACAATGCGTCAGACCTGGATTGTAAACATGATATCCAGGAAACTTTTAATGCTTTATTCATAATATTAAAATCCATCATCTTGAGTCCGCCTTGTTTTTTCTCTCCTACGATAGTTGACTTTTTTATCTTTGCCCATCAAAAATTAGTTTTTCAATTAGTTTTTCAATTTCCTCGATAAAATGTTCAGGTATGACAAGAACAGACGCGTTACAAATTAATTTAGAAAGTCTGAACGTTTTAACTATGTTGATTTTTCCGTAGAGTGTGAGATTTCTTTTTTTCTAACTATTCAGGGTCTTTTCTAAGTTCCAGATTTTATCTGCAAAATTTAGTTCATTGGTTTTGTAGTCATCATAAGAAAAGAAAATACCAAGAGCTTTTATTGGATCCCATGGCCAGCAAAAGCCAAAAGGCGTATCGGTTTTGTTCTTCCACCTGCCAAGCCACATTCCTTCAGTCTTTGTTGTGTTGATTTCCAAACCGGAAAGATTTTTAAACTCTACACATTAAATAACCACGAATCTTCAGTTACAAACAACGATTTACCCCTAATTTTCTCAGAAAATATCACCCCTTTAGAAAACGTAGACAAGTTATTGTGTGAAGGAAAAGTAAAAAGCACTAAAGGATTTTAAAAATGAAAAATCACCGGGAACAGACGGATTACAAGCAGAATTTTATAAATATTTCTGGAAGGAGATGCAAGCAGATATGACACACAGTTTTAACTTTGCCTATGACAATGGGTCATTATCGATCTCTCAAAGGAGGGGAATAATCACACTCATTCCAAAACCGAATAAAGATACCGCCTTACTTGATAACCTCAGACCAATATCATTGCTCAACACTGATTACAAAATTTTATCTAAAGTTATCGCAAAAAGGTTAGAAAAAGTTTTACCAAAAGTAATAAACCCGGATCAAACTGGATAATTATATAAAAACCGTTTAATTTCCGACATTATGACGAACACAGAAGAGAAAAACATTCCTGGAATCGTTCTTTTCATAGAGTTTAAAAAAGCGTTTGATACTGTTGAATGGGACTTTGTTAACAGCTGTCTTAAAGTTTTTAACTTCCGACCTGACATTCAAAACTGGGTCAAAATCTTGTACAATAATGTTTCCAGCTGTATAGTAAATAACGGATTTGCGTCTGAATTTTTCCCTTTAGAACGTGGTGTTACGCAAGGTTGTCCCTTGTCCAGGCTGCTATTCGTAATTGGCATAGAATTACTCATAAGAGCTATCAAAAATGACGAAAACATAAAAGGCATTAATGTAGGTGAGAAAATGATTAAAGTCTCTTTATATGCACACGACACTACTGTTTTTGTTTGAGACCTTGATTCCGTTGACCATTTGCTAACTCTACTTCTTTGTTAAGAAGTTACTATTATTTTAAATAGAACACAGAAAACACTAGATTTTAACTGACATGAAAATGTCTTCTCCAGCAAATTTATACTCTTGTTTTATACTCAGTAGCAAAAAAAGTCACATTGATAAGGTTGAAAAAAGTTTATTATTTTAGAATGTATCTTACATGTATGTAATTCATTTATTACACATGTGTGCAATTCATAAGCTTAAAAAGAAATAAAATCTACTCAGGTGAGAGCTTGAAGTGTTTTTTTCCCTCAGTGCATTGTAGTTCCAAAATTTACTTATTGTTACTGAAGCTTTTTGCTGCTTAAAAAAAGCACAACATCATTGCTGCATTCGAATGCTTTGAGACCATTATCAAACTTGTAAATCTTTAGACTTGGACCACATTCATTCATAAACTTGATTTAGATAGCATCATAGCAAGCTGCATCAATCAGCTCAATTCTCTGAGTTACATGACCCCCATACTCAACTAAAATTCGCCTATAAGGCATTCAACTCGAGATGGCACAAGGGGAATGTTTGTGGACAGAAAAATAAATATAAAAATATATTTACTAGAAAATTCTCTGGATTTCATGATAGGTAAATGAGCATTTGATACAAATTCCCAGTCACAAATCCAGCCAGAAACACATAGTGGCATTTGCTCATAAACATAATTCACAAACTCACTTCCACTATGAACATAAAATTTTGGAATGCATGGTCCACAAAAAGACATGTTTAACCCATTGACACCTGGAGCTTTTTGGCAAAACTGCTTTTCTGGACATTTTCAGCCTGCAAATAACAGTCGGTCATTGGACTATTGTCCAGTAAATTTGAGGTTTTGACAGGTAAAAGCTTAGCCTGGTCACACATCTGACTGGGCATTTCTGCTACGATGAAAAATGATTTAACTGGAAACTTGTGGCTGAATATGGAACAAGTTATTTTACTAACTGCCACACAATACTACGCAGACAAGCTTTGTTATCAGTTTCATTTTTATTCCATTTCTGAGATATAATTTTATCACGTGCAATGCAACGTCTCAAATGTCATGTCGAATTGTAAAACACACCACATCAGTGCAACTATTCTGGCTACGTATTATTTCACACTCGTGGTGGCGTCGTGAAAGATTGTGAAGCCCCATGTAGTCTGAATAATGTTCTTCTGAAAAACTTCTAAAATTTGAGGTCTTATGTTGTTGTTTGTTATCTGCAAGTGTTATGGATTTAATTTTCAGTTGTAATTTTGCCCAAGAAAAATATTATGTAAATTGAATACACGGCAAAATTCTTGCGTTTCATTTATCAACTTTATCTGAATGCAATTGCTTTCAAAACTTTAAAACAACTAAAACGTAACCAAATGTTTCACAAGTCCGTATGATCAAAAATCCGCTTTACATCTCGTCATAGTTTTTTTTACGTCTGTGGTTTCCATACCACAGACATGTTTTGTGAAAAGTGTGAACGTACAAATTAGTCATGCTTTGTAGTCACGACCACTTCAAATCCCAATTTTCAAATCTATTATTCAGTTGAACCCCAAAGAAAATTTTCGGGGAAACTTGCTTTCTGAAAAAGTTGAAGAATTCATTTCAGCCAATTTCAAGTCTCTGAATGTTATTGTGAGTTTTTATACTCACAAGCTGTCCATGCTGGATACTGTTTCATCGTTTTTCCCGTGGTTTTCCTTAGACATTGGGAAACTTGATATTCGGGAAAATACGGAATACACGTGTGATCAAGTGAGTGAAGGTAAACTAGGGATACAAACATTTATTAATTTGTCAATTTTCAACAGGTAAAATAATACCTGACTTAACCTAAAGGTCTCCTTTCTGGTGCCAGTATTGATTTTACACTCTGTTGAGTCTACTTTAAGTCATTTGAATTTGCAACCAGCATTTTGGCAAAGGGAGTAAAATGAAATACCAAAACTTAATGTCTCAATGTCTCTTATTTTTAATTTGTCCGACCAGACTGACTTTTTGTCAGGTCAAAACTTGTCCTTGGCCTGACAAATGACCTGCTTATGATTTGAATGCTTTGCAGGCTTGATAAGTGATACCAATTTTGGTCAAAGGTGATGAAGTCAGAAGTGGAACAAAGGCCAACATGTGTCACGGCCGTTTACGGCCGGTACAGGCATCAGTGAGTTAAGGCAAACATAAGACAGACACATTTTCATCTTCTATCACAAAATTGAAATTTTGCTTCCTATTTACTGACACTTGATTTACACATTTAATTCACAATTTTTTCTGAAAACAATCCAATACTAATTTTTATTAGAATTGCAAAACTGAGACCTTGCAATGATCTGCAAGCCTCAATGCTCTCAAAAGCTTTCAAAGACACATATTTTTTTCTTCTAGGACATGAACATTTTTAAATAATTTAATACTCCCTTGAATTTAATCATTTCATGCAGGTATGTATGTCTGTATGAATTTTCTGACTGCACATTAAACAACACTTACAACATTTCCTTGACAGAACAACAAGAAAGCTGATTTTATATTTTTTAGACCATCATTGTCTTCTCCAAATGTTGTGTCTGCAAGAATATCAACAGTCTTAACCTGAGGAGAAACAATGAAAATAGGTAGCATTAAGTTATCACTCATTTAGGGTGCATAATATAGGTAATCATGTGAATGCAAGTGCAATTAAGGATTTACAAAATGAATGATACTTGAGAATTCTCTCAAAATTGCAAGAGCCTTAAGGCGAGTGCAATTTGAAAGAACTTTCAAATATCACGAGCAATGTAAATCCTCAGTTGCTCGAGCTTTGATACGATCACTCATTAATTATGATTGAGAAAATTGTAAACGTGTAGGCATTAAGTTGTATTGCAGTGCAAATTAAGAATTAATGATAAATTGGCCAACTCTCTCCCAATCACATTGATGCATTTTTCTCAGTCATATATAAATAAGAAGCCTAGTTTAACAGACTGATAGCAAAATACACCTTATTACAGGGGAAGGTACTCATGAGAAGTTTTTCTCTTTTTTGCGAGCACTTTGAGCTCCTGTAACTAGTCAGTTTTTGGATGTTGATGTAGACCTTATTAAAGCTTGAGATGGCATAATTCTTTAAAGGGCACTGAAATCCTTGAAACAACTGCAGAACTTTCATCAGAAGCACTGCCAGAAAGTAGAACAGTTATGCTCTTTCTACGGTCACTTTTTATGAGCATTGCAAAGTGTTTCAATAAAAGGGAGTAGACCTTAGCCAAATTTCATTGTAATGTATGCATAATTCAACTTAATTAATTCTTAAAAACACTTCGATGTTTAGAAAGTTACAATAATATATTTGAAGAAGGTTCCCCAAAAGTGTTCTCCAGGCAAAGCACCAGAAATTTCAATTTTTCGACCCTTGCAAACAATAATTATTCTAGATATTTCTAGTCGAGGACCCTTAAAACAGTTGATAAAGATATGGTATTTGCTTTAGGTTTTCCAGTATTGTGGCCACCTTCAAAAATCTGCCTCCTGCAAAAAGTTGGCAACAGAAGAAAACATAGATCTCTGAACAATTTACTCTGCTCAATTTAATTTTTTACAATAACTGTCTAGTTTGTTGCACGCTGACTGGCTAATTTTTATCATCAATAAGAGTACAGACAGATAAAATTTTAATTTATGTAAGCTTTCAAGTTCAACTTTCAGCTGTCGAACTTTCAACTTTTTAGCCAATGAGATTTTATGGACTTTTGCAAGTAGCCCATCAAAACGCGAGAAATGCTGTTGACAATGATCACGTCATTTTGAACAAAATTCACTTATCTTTGTTCATGGCGTCTTTTCCCCTTGTTTATTCACGGCATTTGACCATTTTGGGGTCTTGTCACTGTAAAAAGCAAATTGATGTCAGTTTTTTATGTGTCTGTCCTCTTATTGATGATGAATATTGTGTCATAACATTGTCAAAGAGGCTGTGGAACCACAAACCGCAAGCGAGTGGTTCCACAGTCATCAATAGACAGACACAAAAAAAACTGACGTCAATTTGCTAAATTTACAGATCTAATTGGACTTGAGAGTAAAATGTATATTGTATTTAACTTGGCAGTGTTTTGATATTTAACAGAAATTAAGTACTGCAAAGGGATGACTTGCAGAGATGTAGAGGCCTTTGCTTGAGAATCCAGAAATGAGACTTGCATGATTTTATATGTAAACACGAATGAAACAGAACTAGTGAGACAATCTCAGATAGTGCAGAGCACAATTGATGGCTCTGGCACGGTAGTCCTACAAGTACTCACCCCTGATTGGTTCACTTCCGGTTTGTGTCTACCTTGGTAGTCTGCTAGGGCTTTTCTCCTTAGCACTGTGTATGTTTCAAGGTAGTATTTTCATTCAAGGTCCAAAAATATGTGCAAATTACTACTGGTGTTTTAAATTCAATAATACGTTGAAGCAGCAAA